TCTATTTATTAATTAAAATTACAATCTAACATAATTTGATATATATTATATTATTATACATTACAAAATTAATATGAAGAGTATTGATCAATGCTGATTATTGGTTCATTGCTCGCCGGCTAATATTTGAACACAAATGGCAAATATTATAATTATGTACAAGAATGGCGTAGACGTTGTATAGAGTCACGTTTATATATATATATTGGATTAATGAATGTAATAACTGCATAACATCACAATTAATATACCGCGCGCGAAGTATAAGTTAACCCGTAACAACGCGGGTTAAACGCTGAAATAATTGATGTGTCAAATAACAGTCGACGGTTCCCATAGGACATTTTTAGCGAATCATCCGTTGAAATTGATTACAATTGATAACATTCGTCTACAACGTGCATTTTATTTTAGATATCAACATAATCAGATTTTCCAGGATGATCGCGCGATATCAATCACATTATTCCAGAAATACTAATGCATTTATATTTGTCATCGATATATTTTTCCTTTTTTGCGATAATCAATGGTATTATTGTCGAAGATCGCGAAGAAATATTTTTCGTCGACTTATGTTGTTTTCGTTTACATTATACTTAAATTACAAATGAATTAAACAACAACTCTTTGATTAAAAAATCAAAAAAGAATTTTAATTTCCAGCCATTTTTTCCGCGGCTCGGACATCTTCTCTATACAAAGTTCTTCTTTATATATCTGAAAATTATTTAAGAGGCTGCGATAAAATAAATGATCGTATTTAAAATTAACTTCACATTCAGAAGCATCGTAAATCGTGTTTATCATTTTTTCCTATTCCGAATATTATTTATCACGTAAGATAAGAAAGATATGATAAAATTATGCATAATCTGCGAAACGTTATCAAAAATAGACGAATCAAATTCTGCGAAGTTGATTCGAGTTGACGGCAATTCTAAGATTATCATTCTGAAGACGATGGTCAGAAGTTGGAACTGGCGAAATATACTTCGTGACTGACTTACCCAAGTTAAACCGCCGGACTTCTGGACGTATTCTTTTATTTGCTCTCTTCGGGATTCAAGGCATATGCGAGAAAAGAAGAAAGAGAAAGAGAATCCGATAAAAACAGGAAAAAGATGGTGCAACAGACCGGTATATGCTGCGTGATATATTACTTTAGAGATAAAGATATACGACTTTAGAGACAAAGTGTATTCTAACTTGTATTTGCATGGATATATGTGTGCGGAAAAATTCAATGTTTTATAAACTTATTGCACACATAATATTTTGTAATCTCTAATGTGCTAGTCTTTCTCATTCGCCTTGATTAATTTGTCTTACAGGGCTAATATAAATCTTATCAATTTCGTGGAACATAAAGATTGATATTTGACACGGTACGAACAGAACGTAAAGATTGATACAATACAAACAAAGGATCAAGTGTCCATCTCGTGCTGGAGTTGAGAACTCGTCGATTGATCAGTCAAACATCTCGTGTGCGTCTTACAACCGAATTCCGTTCAGGCTCTTCGAATCAGTCTCCTATTGCGAATAATCTTCAATTAAGAATAGAAGCTACTATGTGAAGCGTCGACATTGTTAGAATCTCATTGGACTACAAAGTATAAATATATA